AATCTATATCCATGACTCTTTCAATTAAAACCTTCAATTAAAAAACTTCCGGAACAGGAAGTTTTTAACCTGATGCTGATATGTCAGTAATGTAGCACCAGTTGGATGTCGTTTGGGAGGGCATTCCAAAGACCGGGGGCAGCTGCCGACAAGGCCCTCCACCTACAGGCCATCTCCCTCACCTCACTGAGGGATGGCTCTTTCAGGAGGGCCTTCTGGCAAGATCACATTTGCCAGGTAGGTTCATATGGAAGGAGGCGGTCCTTCAGGTATACAGGGCCCAAGCCGTTTAGGGCTTTATATGTCAAAACAAGCACTTTTAATTGGGCCCAGGCAACAACTGGTGGACAGTGTAACCTGGCCAGAATCATTGAATATAGTCTCTCATGGCTCCTCCACTCACCAGTCGTGCAGCTCAATTCTGAATGAGTTGTAGTCGCCGGATCGTCTTCAAAGGCAGCCCCACATAAAGCGCATTGCAGTAGTCTAAACGGGTTGTTACCAGTGCATGTGTGACTGTTATGAGGCTCTGTTCATCCAGGTAGGGCTGCAGCTGGAACAATTTCCCCACTTGCAGGAAGGCACCCCTTGCCAGTGAGTCGACCTGGACTTCTAGGGTGAGACCGGGGTCCATGGGCACCCCCAGACTGAGGACCCTGTCCCTCAGGGGGAGTGCAACCCCATTCAGGGCAGGGAAATGGCTCTTTAGGGAAATGGCTCAACGAACCACCCACTAACAGCACTTACGTCTTTTTTGAATTAAGCTTCAATTTATTAAACCTCATTGTGAGGGTTCGTATATTAGGGCCTCCTTTTCATCAAATAAACCATGAGTCATTTTGGAATCAAACAACTTGTCTCTGTTTATTAACTCAGGTAACTGAACATTAACTTCAAAAGGTTTAGGTGAAAACTTCTCTTGCGAAAACAATGGTTCTCACAAGGGCGACCACATGTCCGTCTCAAAGGGGTTCAAAGACTTCCGTTCCCAGGGTCCCGTCAACACCCTTTCAGGTTCTTGTGTTTCGCCTTTGGCGACCTCTGCAGTGAGTAACAGAAGGGTTTCTTCATCCCCTGACCATCCCCATAACGGGGATCCCTCTCTTGGCTGGGTGTCCCACGGTCCAGGTAACAGCCCATTTCCCGGAGCTCCTCCAAATGCCATGCTCGGCATTGCCTCTGTCTCCCTCACAATCACCTCCTTTTCCTCCCTAAGGCGACGCCGCCACTCGTGGGTCTCCGATTCCCCCCAATAAGATGGGCGTTGGGGCAACCCCTTTTCGTCTCCTGCTTTCAGCTTCTTGTTTAGGCACCCGGACTTGCTCCCATTTTCCCGTCCAGGGGTCTTGTAACCAGATTGTTTCCCAACCCCCCGGTATATTGTCCCAGGTCGTACTTATATCCCTGTTCCCACCTCTACCACAGACCGCCCCCTTTCCTCTCTTCCCGCCAATTCAGGTTCTGTCTAGGTAGAGATGGTTAACCTCTTCAGACCCGTTTCCAGATCTCAGGTGTCCACTCCTTGATGTCTCCTCCTCTTCCTCCTTTCGCTGTTGTCCAAGTCCCGGGTGTCTAGACCCTGATGCACCATTCTAGGCGGGGCAGGTGGTGGAGTGGTCTGCATCCCCTTAGAAGCCTTGGGGAGAGACGGCACTCCCAATAGGACCTCCTGTCCTAGGTCTCTGGCTTCACACTCATCCAGTCCATTATCAGGTCCAGACACGAGTTCTGTTTAGAGTTCTGTATTAGGGCAGAACTGAACTGCTGCACCACTTAGATTTTTTTTAACACATGAAAACTTCCTTCCCAAAGTGGGTGAAGACAAGAGTGGTCAAGCAGGGTTTTTCTTTTATTTTATTTGACTTTTCTAAAAGGTCAAGTGAAGAACCTGCCAGAATCCACTACCGAGTACCAGTTACTCCAAGCACAGGAAGGAGGGAAAACATTTTTTAAACTAGCTGGAGCAGCACTAATGTGCTGCATCACTTAGGAAAAATTAAAAGAAGATTGAAGACTTCCTCCCAGAAGCAGAAGGAGAAAGGAGGAGGAGGCAAGGAAAAGATTTTTTTCAACAGGCAGGTGGACCAAATAGGGTTTCTTGATATGAGTATGCCATGGCCCATGTGGATGCAAAGATCACACCGAATGGCATATTGGACCTCTATCTGTTCTTAAATGATCCCATATAGTCTGCACCAGCCCTTGCAGACAAGCCCTGAGTTAAAAAGTCATTAAAATAGCACATTGTCAAATATAGGTTTCCTATCAACTATAGGCTACAGATAACCATGAGTGTAAGAGAGGATTCCTTGAATGCTGATAATGTCTGGTTGTCAAAGCATTCAGACCTCTGGGAAGTTGTAAATTAGCTTCCCTTGTTTTGTGACTGGTCATTGGTAAATAAGCAGTCTTGCTTACATAGCAAGCAGTCTTGCCGGTAGGATCGCTTAATGACAAACAACATTCTGAATTATGCCTCTGAAACAGAAACACAGCTCCAGTTACTAATGACAGTTTGACTCAATAAAGGAAACTACAGCCTTTAACTTGCAAGCCCTCATATTAATAATAGACTCTTCTGGAGGTCATTATTTGACAGGGTGAGCTTAATATGTAAGTTATTTGACTGCAAATAATGATAGCAACAGTGACAAACAGTACAAAACATTTCCCTTGAGCAAAATGCAAATGAATCCAGTGATTAACCCCTGATGAAGAATAACACAACAAAGCAATCTAGTTTGCAAACTTAGGTAGATGAAAAAGCTTCAATAATGATAATTAGGCTTCTTTTTGTTTGTTTGTTTGTTTGTTTGTTTGTTTGTTTGTTTGTTTGTTTGTTTGTTTGTTTGTTTGTTTGTTTGTTTGTTTGTTTATTTATTTAACTTATATTCCGTCCACACTACCCAAAGGTCTCTGGGCAGCTTACAACAATTTAAATACAGTAAAAAGATAAAACAATTAAAATACAATTGAAAATACAATGCTCTAAAAATTACCATCAGGTCCCACAGTTGATATTATTTCAATTAAAAACCTTCTAGAACAGGAAGGTTTTGATCTGGCACCAAAACGTCATTAACATTGGCGCTAGATGAATCTAACTCAGCATAGTGTTCCATAGTCTCGGGGTGGCTGCTGAAAAGGCCCTTTGTCTACAAGCCATCCCTCTTACCTCCTTGAGAGATGGCTCTTTCAGGATGGCCCCCTGGCTAGATAGTAATTGCCGGGTAGGTTCATATGGAAGGAGGCAGTGCTTCAGGTGTCCAGGGCCCAAGCCATTTAGGTCTTTATACATCAAAACAAGCACTTTGAATTGGGCCCGGGCAGTAACTGGTAACCAATGTAATTTAAACAGAATCGGCCTGATGTGTTCCCTAGCAGCCCCACCACTCACCAGCCGTGCAGCTCGATTCTGAACCAGTTGCAGTTGCCAGACCATCTTCAAAGGCAGCCCCACGTACAGTGCATTGCAGTAATCTATACGGGATGTTACCAGTGCATGCATAACTGTCATGAGACTCTGCTCGTCCAGGTAGGGCCGTAGCTGGTTTAATTTCTGCAGCTGAAGGAAGGTGCTACTGGCCACTGAGTCCACTTGGGCTTCCAGAGTTAGACCAGGGTCTAGGAGCACCCCCAGGCTGCGGACTCTGTCCCTTAGGGGGAGTGAAACCCCATTCAGGACAAGGAAATCGCCCTCCAGGCTGTCCGGCAAAGCACCCACTAACAGCACTTCCGTCTTTTCTGGATTGAGCTTCAATTTATGTGATTAAGGAACTGATGTTTCTAACAGTGATCTCTCTGTGGCATCTACTTCAATCCCCACAGACACAAAATTGGGTGGAACAGCTAATACACATGAAGACAGAAAGAAAATTCAAAATGATTTAGATAGGCTGGAGCAGAATGAAGAACAGAATGAAATTCAACCAGGATAAATGCAAAGTACTGCACATAGGGAAAAAAAGCCAAACACATAGTTACAAGATGGAGGATACCTGGCTCAGCAATACTATGAGTGAGAAGTATCTTGGAATCATCATAGATCACTAGCTGAATATGAGATAACAGTGTGATGTGGCTACAAAAAAGGCTAATGCTGTTTTAGGCTGCATTAGTAGAAATATAGTCTCCAAATCCTGCGAAGTAGTAGTTCTCCTCTATTTGGCACTGATTAGGCCTCACCTTGAGTACTGTGTCCATTTCTGGACACTATAAATAAGAAGGATGTCAACAAATTGGAACAAGTTCAGAGAAGGACAACAAGGATGATTAGGGAGCTGGAAACCAAGCCCTATGAGGAAAGACTGAAAGAACTGGGCATGTTTAGCCCTGAGAAATGTAGACTGAGGGGTGATATGGTAGCACTTTTCAAATACTTGAAGGGCTGTCATACAGAGGAGGGCAAGATATATGTTTTCCTGATCAAACCGGAGTGCAGGACATGCAACAATGGGATCAGGTTACAGGAGGCCAGATTTTGGTTGAATATCAGAAAAAACTCCCATACTAGTACAGCAATCGAACCAATTACCTCAAGAGTGCTCCAGCACTGGAGGTATTCAAGAGAAATTTAGACAACCACCTGGCAGATATCCTTTGATTTGTATTCTTGCATTGAGCAGGGGGTTGGACTCAATGGCCTTATAGCCTGCTTCCAACTTCATGATTCTGTGATTCTGAATATGTTTAGGATTATATTGACAGTCTGATTTGTTAATAAAATTATTTGGATCTGAAAGCATCAAAAGCAGCCCCATCTATCGGATTGGGCTGATGCAAAGTAGGAATAAACAAGAATACAGCCCTGATTTATTACTGTCTGCCATATCTGCATAGTTTGAAATAAAAATCTACCCATGAAATACGTTGGATCACGTAGAAATAGAACTGTCTAGATGGAATGTGCAACATCCTCAATGATCTTAAAGCTGATGTTACCTGTCCAGCTCAAATAGTCCGGGGAGTGTGTCTGATGAAACGGCAAACTTTGAATCCTTAAGATTTTTCCTTAGTCTTAATCCTGATTGTTATATTTAGTCTCAACCGCTAATGTAAATGTGGCATCTTCAGCATTCACAATTCACTTCTAAATGTGCTTCCACTCTGGGGATAGAACCAAAAATTGAGACAGGATATGTCATCAAGGAAAGCTGACCCAAAACAGTATTGTTTACTAAAATGGCCCATCTTTGTAAATGACAAATTATCTTTTATATAATATATTTGGGATATGATACTGCAAACCAAGCTCTTAAACAATGCATCATGGAGGTGGAGAACCAACATGATTTGAGAGCAATATCAAATAGTATTTCTTTGGATAAAGCGCTACTGCCCTTTAAACTAGCTAACTACCTTTACTCACTGTTAATACCCAAACGCCGTAGAGCCTTTACCCTTGCCCAACTAAATGCATTACTATTGGCAGTACAAGAAGGGAAGTATAAGAAAATTCCATACTCTCAACGAAGATGCCTTTGTAATTTGGGTGCAATAGAAACAGTTACGCATGTTCTCCTGGCCTGTCCTTATTATTTTGACATTCAGAGGAATTTTACTGAACCTTATCTAAAATCATTCCCTGGGCACTCTGAGGCTTTTTACATGCTTTTATTGCTGTCTGGGCACAATATAAATATCTGGTACAATGTGGTGAAATTTCTTGCAGCTGCTGTTAAAATGCATGAAAGGAAGGTTTTAAAAGTTACTTGATTTTAGTTATTAGTGGGAACCTGTAAGGGAGACTAGGGTAGTATAATGTACTGTATTACTCTGTCAGGATGCTTTTAACTTAGTGTATGTTTTATATATGTGTTTTACTGTTTTTGTTCATTTATTTGTACGTTTGGATATTGGTCTATGACCATCTTAAACTTGATCTGATCTTATCTATCTTTTCAAAAACCAAGTGCCATGCTATCAGTAATCAGAACTCATTCATATGACATTTTGAGAAACAGGCATAAGCATCCTCACATATTGGTTGCAGAAGATATTATTAATCTTCAGGAGAGGCCTTCTCAAGCTTATCAAAACCTGCAGAGGTCCTGCTAACAGACTTATGGGAGAAACCTTTATCCTGTGTGCCACTCCCAGACTGTGGAATGCATTCCCTTCTGAACTGCAATCAGTTTCCACTCTGACTACTTTTAAGAAGCAGAT